TACTGTGAAACCGTAGCAGCGTAGCAGTTCTTCCCTTTTGAAGGTTTGCTAACCTTAAGCTCCATTCAGTGTCTGCAAAAAGAATTCTTCTCATGAGCTGCTTTGGTTACTTTGCCTCAGGCGGTCCCTGTGACCCCGGCTCTCTCTGCTCTGAGATCACTCTCCTAGAAGACTTTTTTTATATGATTCCTTTACTGCTCTAACACAACACACTCAGATCTGAGGCATGTGAACTACAGCAAAGCCAGGAGGGTCTCCTCTACTAAGACGTGATCGCTCCCCTGAATACAAGATTTTTGGGGGCTTTCTGTAAAATATTGACAATATGCTATTTTGCCATGCATTTAAATGCATCTTCATGGATTATGCATAAAATTAGGCGATTATTTAATGTGTGAAATTTATTTTGTCTGGTAGCAAGAAAGCCATCACACGGAGATGGCGACAGGCAAACCCCCCCAACAAAGGACAACTGGACTACACCCGTCAATGAAATAAACTGTATGGAGAAAATTACCTTTATTTTAAGACGAACGATATGAATAATACACAACTCGTGGAAAAACTACTGTAAATATGTGCCTGTAAAACCTGTTGTAGTATTGTGTAGCCCATGTCAACACACATTTAAATTGAAAATATCAACAAAAATATAGTTCAAAAGACGCATTTACTTGATTGGTTTTGATTTATATACACTGGAGGTATTATTTTATTTCCCTGTGTTTAGGATCTTGTCGTATTATCCGGTTTTGTAAACTGTTTCAATATGATCAATGTAAACCATCTCTTTCTCATGTCGATGGAGGACATGTTCATGTGATGAGTTAATGATACGGCTGCTATAAAAAGCATAATGGTCGTGTATAATAGCTGCTCTAGCATGTTGGAAAAACCTTGCTGATGAAACACAATAGGTTAAACTCTGCCAATTCTCTGCCAAGTTTAGGCATCTGGTACATAAACGTTCGCATAACTTCATCCTAATACATGTCGGTCCCTCCAGAAATATGTGACCGCACCTTACTCTTATCGGGTATAATACATTGCAATAGAAAAGGTGAAATATACACACACACACACACACACACACACGTAACATTAGAGTCTTGTCTACGCATAGCGACAACAAGGAAGCAACAAAAGCAGGGGGGGGGGGGGGGGGGGGGGGGGGGGGAATAGGAGTTGAGTGAG